GTAGAGCTGTGTATTGGGTATTGATCCTGGGTGATTTTATGCCAACACCAATCGTCTGTGTAAGGAACCAGAATGCCAGCCATATGTAGTGCATGTATCCGGAACTGTTGTGGGCACTAATACAAGAGAATTTGATTCGTTATATACTTACAAAATATGCATATCTACTCACAGATGATGATTTGAGACACTTGTTAGTTTAAATTTCCCTTTCTCTTTGTCAAGTACCTTCTTCCTACATCCATCCTTGAGATACTCACATTTAAAGTTTTAACTCTTTCAGCACATACGTCTGGTCTCAATTCAACAATATTCCCTTTGTAAGTACCTTTTTCCGACACTCCATTCTTCAGGATTTAAAGTTTTGAGTCTACCATTAACGGATGCGTCTCGTTCAGATCAACCTCTTTCTCTATTCCGACAGTCCATTCTTGAAATATTACATTTTGTTCTTCGCTTTGTACCCTATATATATATGTATATTAAGAATTAGGCATTGTATTGTGTTACTCTTGTCTACTTTTAAAAGACAAAATTTCTTCTGAAACCGTGAAATTTTTAAAGGAGCACAAAATTAATTACACAGTTTGCATTGACCTTTGGAATACACTAATGTAAAATGCAGAGTAGCAGTGAGTTGTTTGGGTTGCATAAAATTAGGACCCTTCAGAAGAGATTTCGTCTTCTAAAGGGAAAAACAGTATGCGTAAATCCCTATACCTACTTCTTAATAAATATCTTTCATTAGACTTCCATGAAGACTGCAGTAAACATCCGACATCAGTGGATGGACAAAACATTTCCATAATGTACTTGCAACATATAATAAATATGAAAATATAATAAATATGGAAAGTTACGTTCTGTATTTACGTGGGCCCATTGGGGCATGGAAACATTACACCGCGCATCAAAAGGAATATATTTATGTATATTGTTTGGTGAAGTGAACCTGTCCCCTAACTGGTTGGGGGATGCAGAACTGAACTGAAGACTAGGATAATAGTTCGGTTTCATCATAGACTAATGTCGCCCCTCTTCTAAAGAGAGAGGAAGGAAAAATTACCAACTCTGGTTTTACTTCTGGAACGAAAGGTACTTAGTCATACTCACACTTATATAGGCACTTGTTGATTTTAAATTATATTATTACAAATCTTACATTAAAAGTTGAAACTAAACCAAATTCACTATTCTTAATACCTTTTGGTATAAAAATAACATAAATGCATATAATAGCTATTAGTATTACCAACAACCTTTCATCTTCTGTTTCTAAATTGCGCCCAAGATTGAATCACATCTAATTTTAGTAAATCAGATTTTATTTACATAAGAGCGCCTGAAGTCTGAACGATCATTTTGCATTGATGATGATTATGTTTTTAACATATTTCAGTGTGCTAAATTTGCGCTCGCTGGTTACAACAAAATAACAATATTCTTACATCTTCACTTCAAGTTTTCCGTGTAAGATGGATACGTTTAGTTTACTGCACTAGGGCCTCTATCGGGAAAGAAATATTGTAATAAATGCTTGGAGGTGTTTAAATTTAACACACACTTTCGCTACATGCTGGTGGTTAGCATTAGCACATATACCACCTGCACACTTGCGCATGCGTGTTTTGCCGAAAAGTTTTTCAGCTCTTTCTTTTATGTATGTAAGTATATGTGTATCAAATTTGGTTCGAATCGATTCAGCAGGAAATAAGATCTTGAAGCTTTTCAG